ACCTGCAGTCAGGGTAAGCCGTACTTTTAGGTAACATAGTTAAGACAAAGCCCTAACCTGCAGTCAGCCCTGACTGCACCACCCCCCGTGGGTTAGGGATGGGAAGTATCAGGTCTAATGCCTGTCATTTTGACCGTCAATGCACTTCTTTATAACAAAATGTCAATGTGACAGTGGATCTAGCCATAATTATGATGCAAAAGGCGGTTCACTAGGTTCGAGGAGATCCAGATCACCGATTTCAAGGGCTGGGTATCTTACCTGGCCCTCCGTCCGTGGAAATACAATTTCTTAGCATCCCATGGAATTGGTCTTACACATGTAGCTCCTATCTAAACCAAAAGCTAGGTTGATCTAGATTGTCATTAGGCATCTCTCGACATCTTGGTGAGAGAGGTTACAGCTATGCGTAACTTTGGCGCCAAGTGACCGAATTGGGATTAACTGGAACTGCACAACCCGGCCATACTCAGTGTGTGTGGTTCATATTTCACCATTAAGCGTTCGAACGTTACTTCGACGTCACCAAGCTGAACTTCTAGTCTCCAGAACTCGCCGAAGTCCGATCGGTTAGTAGGAGGTCTAGAAGCTGCTGCTCTAGGTTTCGTGGGTTGTTGAATTTTCCAATTTTGACCCATTATCCTACTTCGCCCAAGATAACAGCTAGGCCTGCAGTCATCGTTTAGCACTCCCATGGCGCTCATAAATTCTTTCCTTTGTTTGCCACTATGAAATTGACGATTCCTTCCCCAATTGGGAAAGCTTTTACGTTGAGATTAGGAGGAATAAGATACTGATGGAAATTGCTTTATTCAGCTCTCCTTATCCGTTGTGACTTCCTCAACCTGATTGCCAAAGTAAAAGACAACATCAGGAATATTGATCTCATGCGGTTCTAGAAAAACGCTAAGATTCCTTGTCTTCTGGATGTGCTCTTCGTCGTAATGGCCGGGCGTTGAGAGATAATTTATCATACGTGCGTGCCAGTAGTTGTCCAAGAACTCCATGATCGATAAATCACGCTGGTGGAACTCACTCTCTAGTTCAGAAACGAGTTGTTCGAGTTCATGGTACCGATGAGGATCCTCTTCTTGGATGTTTTCAACATCTTGCTGATCTTTAAGGTCGACGTAGTCTTCCATAGGTTGGTCCTCGTCAATTTCAGAGCAACATGTATGCTGCAGGCCCAAGGCATGAGTTGTTTCAGGCCTTGTATTAGTCCACCGAAGAAGGAGACTGAAGACCTGGCGAAATAGCTTCACGGAGCCACTCAACGGAGGAGTGGCGCTCCTCACTTGTCTGATACCTTTTCGTAGCGCCACTGAAAGGGGAGTACATCCGCCAAGGCAACATGCACAGACACAATGATCACGAGCAGAAAAGATCATGAAAATGGTATCTTTGTATGGTATGACCCGTGCCTCAAATCCCGGCCACCTACAAGATTTGTCGTAAACATCACCGGAAATGACATGTAGGATCTCGCTTATTGCCCAAGAGGTGGCCAGATGAGCAACTTTTCCATTAGAACAGGGCAGTTTTTTTGGCTAAACTCGCCCCTTTCTTAACGAGCCAGATGATGCGATTCAGGGCATAGCCCGTACTGGCGGAATAATGACAAAACTCCTTTCCCTCTACTCGAGTACTAAAATACTTAAATTTAAGTAGGATTATATACTTTAATATACAAGATTCTAATATATAAGCTTATTTTACCTACTTTATTAATAGTTTGACCTAATTTATTATTAATATTAGTACATATACCAAAATAGTATTTAATAATAGTAAAAAACACGGCTGAATTATTAGTTTATAGGGCCGAAAAAGGAAGGTCTTGGCATAATTATAAAACTACGGGGGACCACACAGGGGACCGCAAAGGACTATGGGGGACTGTAGTGCGGTCCTGACTACTTTGAAAAAAGACCAAAGACTGGATGGTCCGGTCCCGGTCCTTGCCAAGGTCTACGCGCGCATAAAACTTCCCTCACACGATTTTGTTTTTCCATGACTGTCCAATCAATATTGAGAAAGTTGAACCCGCGTCTTCAGGTCCCGTTGCTTGCGATCGTTGACCGACACAACAATAGGTGTGTCGTCGGCATAGAAACGGTCGGGTATTCTTGCGAGCAGGCTGATTAAAGACACCAGCCTTGTCGCCTACAAAAGACTGTATCCTCCCAGAAGAAGAGATCCGAATCAACTGCGCGACCCAGATTGCAAAATTTTAAAGAGACGGAAGAATTGAATAAAATGGCAGATTGGTCAAGTTGGAAAAGCCAGAATGGTTGAGGAAGCTTATAATAGATTATAAGATTTTAAAATAGGCTCAGCTATTTCTCCTCTTCATGGATGCATGCCGGCGGAGAAATAAACGCAGCTTTCAACGAAAGAAGAAAAGGTACAACAACCACGATCCGTTGCCATGTTTTATCAAACCCAGCAACCACCTTTTCTTGGTTCCAAATTCTAGCCGCCTATGCCCATCCATCTCTATGATTCTGCCCATAGGCCAAGTCCACGCTCACAAGTTACCAGAAAAAGATGTCGAGTGATGAACGGAAGAATGTTGATCGAGAGGAAGGATTGTCGAGAGTGACTCGAGGCTAGGACGAGGACCGTGTCGAGTGAGGAGCTTACAGACCCAAGATGGTGTCGGCGACGCGGACGAGGCCGCCATTGAGAACGCTAGTGCCAGCGCCGCCGAGGGTACTGGGAGTGCCAGCAACAATCGTGCACATACCCTACACGTGGATGTCAGCATATCATGTCATGTTCATTAAGTGTGTCTGTAGAAGAACACTTACGGGCAGGGAATCAATCGCGCAGCAGTAGGGGAAAGTGGATGCGACAGTGCAGCCACCTGCTGGGAGAGGGTAACAAGCTGTTAAAGCTGTGACGCAGCACAAGCTTAACGGGCACCCGCCAACGGGGGGAGGGGCGACGCCGGGATATTCTTTGTCGCCATTCTCAACTTTAACAATCTGGGTGACAGACTGCTTCTGGGACTGGGGTGCGCCGTCGTCGCCGTAGGTCTTCTCCTTGATGTTCACATTGCCGTGGGGATTGCCGTGGGGATTGCCGTATGGGTTGCCGTATGGGTTGCCGTATGGGTTGCCGTATCGGTTGCCGTCTGGGTTGCCGTATCGGTTGCCATCTGGGTTGCCGTATCGGTTGCCATCTGGGTTGCCGTATCGGTTGCCGGTAGGGTCGCTGTCGCTAAGATCAGAGTCGGAGCCCCAGCCATCCGAGAATGGTGGGCTGTGGGGGACAGCCATGGTGGCGGCGACGAGGCCGAAGATGGTGGCAATGGCCTTAATCTGCATTTTGATTGTTGAGGTTTTAGTCTGGAGGTGAAGAACAGTTTGAGAGAGTGATATGTAGTTGAATGGTTGGTTGAGTGCTGTGGATGATCGATTAAAGAAAAGTCAGGACTAGGTGGAAGGATGAGGGATTTATATGCTTTTTCAAAACCCCTGCTGTCTCTCGATTCTCGTTCCCATCGCCATCATGGTTTCCCGTGTGCAAGAGTCACATAACTGGGCACATTTTTCTCTGTGAGGGGAACATTCCGTCTTCCTGTCTGTGATAGTAAGTCCTGATCTCGATGCCCCTGAATACATACCGGTGCTGAATACATACAGAGGGGTGACAACAGTATTTGCACCCCTTTGCTATGGCCAACCTCCAGTATGCCAGATTTCTGTATAGGCAGTAACGCCTAGGTGACAAATTTTCGAGGATGGAATAAAGGAGAAAGAGAGCTGTATCTGCATTCATACGCTGCATGTGGTGCCTTGAATCGAAAGATTATCTCCTCTCAGCTGTATCTCAGGGCAAAATCAAGGATTCAGTGCGATGATTTACCTCCACTATGTCACATTTCGTACAATGAGCAATGTAAACGCACCCGGATTGAATGAATATGACAGAGACCTTGTCTGCTTCTATTCTCTTGTTGAAGTTCCTTGAGTGGAGAGACTGTTGTATGCCACAAGGAAGTTACGTGCAAGGTGGATACCTAGGTTATAAAAACGCGCTACCATCGGAAAACCAAAAATCAACACTTATCGAAAACACGTCTTTTTTACGAGTCAATCGATTCAGGGAGGTCGAAAACCCCATAGAAACCACCATGGACCTCCCTGATCCCTATGGTGGTGGTGATGCGCACGCGTCGACCGCAGAAAATAGAAACGTAGCAAGTCAACTCACGGCGATGCTTGGAGTGCTCGACACCCCAAACCAAGCCAGTGGACTGGTACAGGACTACTGGGTGCAGTTATGGGAGAGGAAGAATATGGTAATGAGAATGCCATGGAATTAACCCAAAGGGCCCCAAAGGCAACAGGAAACAAGGTCCTTGGTCCAATCAGGACACAGCGACGACTGGGAGGAAAGAACCCTTACGAACCCCCCAAGGGGATATCAGCAAACAATTCCAGGCATTACGTTGGGAAAGCTTTTAACCAACACAGGCCCAAGAACAAGCACGTGGGCTGACGCCACATGACTGTCAGCTGACGGCTGCTTTATCCGTCCAATCGGATAAGCTGCCGGGTTTATGGCAGGTAACCGTTAACCCTTGCTGGTACATCATGAGATATCTGTCTTTTCCCAGAGCGGGTTAGCGGCATTAAGAACAATTTTGCATAGACCGCTAGGTCTCATACACACATAACTTGTAGCAACCCAAGTTTGAGTGTTTTTATGGTGGGTGGACGCAAGCAGTGGAGCAGCTAGGTATGTTTCTTCGACCTCGTAAATATAGCCCACTTAGCGCCTTGGTATTAGTTCTCACGCACGCGGCTGCCATAGCTAACATACCATCCATCCGATAGCTGAGAATTAAGGAGGACGCTCCGTGGACCGCATGTTGGTTTGAAATGTGAACTACATGGAGAAATAAATGCTTATATACGTCTGCCTATCCATCTACTGCTTTTAGAAATTTGATTTTAAACTCATCCCAGCGACATCTCTCAATATCCACGCCACAGAAACACCTTAGAGCGTGCTCGTTTGGGAACCAGGGGCTCTTTGGGAGAGAGCAAAAGAAAGAAGCTTAGAACAGGCACAGGGACTAGGAGTCAGAACACGAACACTGCCAAGCCATTCATTGGCAGGAAGTAGGGGATAAAGCATCCGTGCCAAGAGCTAGCTCTGCGGGCAAGAACAACAAGCTGTCCGCGGGCAACCCTCCGCACTGCGGGACTTGCTGCCGAGGGGGCATGGTTGTTGTAGCATGGCAGACATGCGGAAATTAATAGCGATGTTACCAGCTTCCAAAGGATGCTAAAGGGTAAGAAAACCTGAATTGATTTCCTGGGGTAGCGAGGCTGATATCTTTATTTTTCTTTATGCGTAATGCAATAGACATATCCCCCCCCCGCGCCTTTTTTTGGTTAAAAAATAATTACAATATTTTCCTATAAAACTACAGTAATCGTTCTACATTGAGATGTAGAAAGTTAGAAGATAAGTATATTGATATTTGTCTTGAATATTGGTGTATGAAGTATATGGGTCAGGGTCTTAAGCTCGCAATTCTTCTCCGCAATTCCAAAAAGCTATGCATTTCATGGGGCCTTGACTTTGGAGCCTTGGTCAACATTCTTGCGATCTGCATCTGGAAAAGCTATTTAAATCAAGGAAGGCAGCTACTGGGGCTACAAATAGCTGCATCTTTTCTCATAGATAGAAATGTAATCATCACACTTGTACCTCAATCCAGACTTTCAACTTCGGCGAAAGGTCGGGTAAATGATATCATTGATCCATCCATCCACTGTTCAAGTATGTACAGTGACTGGACATAAGTTTTTAACACACCCGCCCCACACCCCCTATGTTACATAATTTTCTGCCGGCCAAAAACCTCTATTTGCTGCTTGCTAATAAGGTGTATACCAGCCCTGAGACTCAATAATTGCTTCTACACGATGAGGCATCGTCTCGGAGAGGTGCTGGAGGTGTCTAGTATCAAGCTGATCCCATGCCTCTTGCGCAGTACTAACTAGTATATCCTTTGTAGTATCGTTATTCCTCATATGGATAAGGTCAGGCCGAATTTCATATATTTTTGCCTTTAGCAACGCCCAAAGATTCTCGATAGGGTTAAGATCAGGCGAATGGGGTGGCCAGTCCATAACCTCAACCCCTAATTCGACTAAGGCATCTCGTACAACGTGGGCAGTATGTGTTGGCGCGTTATCGTGTTGAAAAATCCCATCTTCATTATCAATTAAGATAGGTAGAATCCGGCGGTATAAAGCTTCGATAACAAAGCGATTTACACCTCCTCGTTCAGAATTCGAATCGCCAAATAAAGGAATCAATCCCGTACGTCGTTCATCTCCCGAGAACGCAGCCCAAAACATCTGTTTAACTTGCTTTCCACGATATGGTAGACCTTGGCATTGGCCTAGTCTTGGTTGGTCTTTCGGACGAATAAAAGACCATTCTCGTCGAATGCCAATACCTCGTTCGACAGTACATTCATCAGACCAAAAAAAACGTGCCCAATCGCTAGGCGTAAAGTGTCGATATTGATATGCCCAGCTAAGTCGTTTTATAGCATGTTCCTCAGTCAAGTAGGGCCGCCAACTATATCGCCATTTTCGTAAATTCTCGGCATTCAAAAGGCGTTGGATTGAACGGATCTTAACTTTATGATCAACCTCAGCAAGGAGGTCCTCGTGTGTAGTCTTTGGATTATCATGAATAACTTCCACAAGACGATTTTTGTCGGCCTCAGTAAGGGTTTTTGGCCG